CAAGATATTTTTTGGCAAATGTGAGACGAGTCTTTGTGTTCTTTTTGGTCAGCAGTGGCTTTTGCCTTGGAACTCTCCCATGGATGCCGTTTTTGCCCAGTCTTTCTTATTGTTGAATCATGAACACTGACCTTAATTGAGGCAAGTGAGGCCTGCAGTTCTTTAGATGCTGTTCTGGTTTCTTTTAAGACCTCTTGGATGAGTCGTCGTTGTGCTCTTGGAGTAATTTTGGTTGGCCGGCAACTCCTGCGAAGGTTCACCATTTTTCCAAGTTTTCTCAATTTGTGGATAATGGCTCTGACCGTGGTTCGCTGGAGTCCCAAAGCCTTAGAAATGGCTTTATAATCCTTTCCAGACTGATACATGTCAACTGTTTTGTTTCTCATCTGTTCTTGAATTTCTTTAGATCGCGGCATGTGTTGCTCTTTAAGCATGCTTCACTTTGTCAGACAGGTTCTATTTAAGTGATTTCTTGATTCAACAGGTCTGGCAGTAATCAGGCCTGGGTGTGGCTAGTGAAATTTAATTCAGCTTTCTAAAATAATGTGGTTAATTGCAGTTCTTTCATGATTTAACAGGATGGGGCAATTAATTTTTCACGTAGGCCCACGTAGGTTTGGACAGCTTTTTTCCCTTAATAAATGAAATCATCATTTAAAAACTGCATTTTGTATTTACTTGCATTATCTTTGTGTAATATTTAAATGTATTTGATGATCTGAAACATTAAAGTGTGACAAACATGCAAAAAAATAAGAAATCAGAAAGGGGGCCAAAACTTTTTCACACCACTGTATACACACATATTTTTTCCTTTCTTTTTTTAACATTGTGGGCAATGTCATTTTTAGAATTCTTGCAATACCATACATTTTAATTTGTCTATTGTTGCTGATATGTCAAGTATGATAAGCAAATACTGCTTTTTCTAAAAGAACGTCTAGAAAGTAAGACCTCAGGGTAATATAAAGCTGGGTAATTTATGGATTAGTGTGACTGTGTGAGCATGGTGCACCCTTTGGCTGAATGTGTGATTATTTTCTATTCAAAATGACATACCACATGTTATGCACTGGGTGTTTTTTGTCACCTTCCTATCTGTGATTATCCCAGAGCAAAGTCACAGTAATGTCAGACTGATTGAGAGATAAGAGAGTTTTTACAACCTGTGCATTCTCCTGCTGCATGAGGCCAAGTTTCAGGATCCGGACTGTTTCAAAACACTGTGTATGTGGGTGGCCTAAGCATCTGCACTCTCTAAAAACTTGATCCTAATTGTACCTACATCACAATATCTGTTAATTAGAGATGTTTCAGTTTTAAGCACATCATTCATAATTTGGCCATTAGTGTATATTTAGAATGATAGCCATAAACATCGCAGTTTGAAAGCAGATCCTCTCAAAATCAAGTTGCCTGGAAGCATTTATTGTAGTAAACAATGATCAAATGACAAAGCAAATGACACTGCATTATGCAATACAAATCGATTTACATAACAAGATTATTAGGTCTCACCTCTTTCCCGCAGGTTTCGGAACAGATGGGATGATCCTTTCCAAACAGGTGGCGTATCTGACAGAACCTTGTCTAGATCCTTTTAAAAAAGCACATATTCAGGATCATTAAGATTTTCTAAACTCAGATAAATACTCAGTAAAAAAAAATAAAAAATCAAACCTGTTTTGTGAGGGATCTCCAAAACCTCTTTTCTAAAAAAAATAAATAAATAAAAACAGATATAAGAATTATTTATGGTATCATTTAAAGCTGCAGTCCGTAACTTTTGGCGCTCTAGCGGTTAATAAACAGAACTGCGTGCGTCTTGCGGAAGAACATTGTAGCCGGAGCTACTTCTCTCTGTTTAGGTCTATGACGAATCACGCAGGTGCTGGGCTACTCCGCAGCGGTACCTACCCGAACCAGTCTAAAATAGTCCGAATATAAACATTTATTATAGGTGTACCGTAGGGATTCTGGATAAGCCAAAAACACGGTTTGGAAAATGGATTAATGGTGTACTCGATTATTATATATATGTTGTTAATTTTGAACACAAAAAAGTTACGGACTGCAGCTTTAAACTATTTCTAAATGAAAGCAGACAATAAAAAAAAGCCAGATTCCAGGATAAAAAATTTATCAAAAGTATAGCATAACACTCTACTTTATGTCACATAATTCTGTATTAATGACAAAATTTTACTTAGGCTACAAAAATCTTAAATTCAAATACTGATAACATACAGAAAATCTGTTGTTCTCTTATTGTAGAATATGTCGTTCAGGTTGAAAAGATACTGTTACAGTGAAGCAGACAGTCTAAAATGTTTTGACAGGGTGAATCAGTTTCTAAGTCTTTTGCATATATGCAAAATATAAGTCTTATATAAGTCATATCTGCAGAAATAAGTCTTTTTCGTATCTGCAGAAAATGCAAGTGGCAGTGCAATTTCCTGAAATGCATGATTACTTGCCATAGATAGCTATTAGCTATATAGAATTATTCTTTAATAAATAATAGAGATAACATTTAATACTCAATTTTTGTTTTGTATACAATTTAATAAATAAATGAAAAGAAAAAAATCCTAATATTTATGGTGGTAAGCAAAACAAAAACACTTTAGCAGAGTATTTACTATAAAATCAAAACAACTGTAGCTTGTTTATATAATGCAGTCAAAGTGTGCTTTACAGCCACAGCATAAAACAATAAATACCACTATTTGTTCCGTCACGCATATGCCATTAAAGATGGTGATGCAATGTTTGCCCGTCATATAACAGTTCACATTTTATTCTCGTCTGCACATTCCAGGAAGTCCAAGTTTCAGATAGCAGCAAACATGACTGGTTGAAACTCAACTCCCCTACAAGTATAGCTGGGTCCTGAAAATACATTTATAGAGCATATCAACTCTACCATCTGGACCGATCTCAGTGCCTTTCCACTTTATGTGAGATATGAACTTAATGAATTCAGTTTAGCTGAGATCCACGGTACCTGACACACATGTTTAGAAGTTGTCTGTCTTGCTGGTTTCATATTTTGGTTACATAAATGGGTCATAAGTGTGATGCTGGCAGAGATGCATGTGTTACGGCTACATATGCTGATTTTATGCCTGCAGGGTTACTTGCTTTTAAGATTATAGGGTTATTCCTCACTGAGGCAAATATTTGCAATAAAAGGTATAGTTCACCCAAAAATGAATATTCTATCATTATTTACTGCTTATGTCATGCTGTTTGAAATCCACAAATGGAGAAATAAAAAAATGCTATTGAGAATATGCTATTCATGCGTTAGTTAAATGTTTTTTTTTAATGAATTGGTTGATCTGGTTCACAAAAACGCTACTGTAAATGATTTGTGATTCATGGCCACTGTTACTTCTCTTTTATGGTGCTTTTGAATTCCTTTTGAAGTTTAATGCTCCATTGAACAGAGCAACTAGCCCTCTTTTCTCCCAAAATTTCTCTTTTGTTCAACAGAAAAATTGTGCTTATGTTTCGAGAACATTATTAAAGACCAGATAACTCTGAACAAATATTCTATTAATGTTACTGGAAGAAAGTATTTTGCCAGAACATTAGTCAAAGTTCTGAGAACATTCTCTGTTAGCTGGGTAATTATTTATCTCAAACAGTGTTACTTGCAATATGCCAGACACTACAAATCTGAGAGCTTCATGTGGTATTCTATAGTTACACAATCATATGATGAGTTTGTATATTCTTCTATGAAAGAAGATTAACTGTTTGTGTAACTCACTCTTTGATTCACTCATAGTGACTGACTCGATAAAGTCGAGGGGAGTCATGTAAAGCTGTCCATCATACTCCAGTGAACTGAAGAGCCTGAACCTGTGTTCATGAGCAGACATCGAAACCTCTTCATCTTCACCAGATGCACTGGCCTATAATCAAACAAATACACATCTCACTTACATAAAAATATAGGATAAGACAGGCATGACATTACAGAAAGTGCTAGCCATTTTCTTTTTCCTTCTTTCAGTGAATGGCCTCCTCCCGGTTTTTAATATCGCTACCATTCCTGTACAAAAAAAAAAAAAAAACATGCACACAAACATCCACAAGCAGAAATATCAAGAGGACAGTGTTCTTCTCACTCTACAGTGGCCGGCAGCCAGGCCCACTGGGCACTGTGCAAACACCCTGGGAATGTATGCCCTGGTACTTATTACCCCATCAAACGTCGACCCGGCTGCCAAGCCGCCGTGTCCAGTTACCTCAACCCTGTATTCCTGCATCTCAGTCCACAAGTCAAGGTTACGACCCAAGCAGACAAGAGTACAAAAACAAAAGGGAACAGTGCGGAGAGAGTCGCACAAGACTGATTTAATCCTGTGTGGTTTAATGATCAATCTGATAACAGACTGATAATTGCTTTTTCAACAACAGTCAAAACGAAGAGTAGGTGTACCAGAGGCACTTAAACACAACCCAGAGGCTTCTTTTGCTTTGTTAACTATAAAATATAATAATAGTAAATTAATTAATTTAATAAATCATGATTAATCTCATGATTTAATAGCAAATTTTAAGGAAACACAAAAATCAAAATAATGTGTGTAATGTGCACAAAACATACTGTACATTTGTGTGGATGAACCTTAAAGCAGAATATAGTTTGTTTTTCTCCCATAGTATTGGTTATTTTTTGTATAAAAGTGACTTTAATAGGACTAATAGTATTGTAATAAATGACATCAATCACAATATGAATCTAAGAAACATATTGTGGTTTAGGAAACACTAACGTAGATCGAAGTACTGATGTATTAATGTAGACCAACAAATCTGACTGAGAGACAAATGACAAGAGATTTTGACAATACAGGAGAAAAGGTTGTTGACTGAATTTGCATGCGTAGTAAAATGACCCTTTCAGAGCATAAGTCAATACTACACAGGCAGAACATATCTAGGCCTATAAAATGTCCCAATATGTACTTATAATATGTACTCCAATATTTCTTTTATATATAGTTTTATAGAATCACAGCGTATCACCTGACTGATGAATTAAGACACCGAATTCAGCACCTCTCCGTTGGAGAGCGACAGTTTTGATGGCACAAGTACGTATTCCACCGAATTTACGACTTTAAGCATAATAAAAACCGGGATGCTAGAGAAATATTCAATGTAAAACACAAACGTAAACATTTCAAAGTGTAGACTACTAAGATTTAGATACCTTCTCTTTTGCAGCCACGGCTGGGAGCGGAGAAATCAATACACGCAGACTAGCTGCGTGTCCCCGATCCCGATCCGAATTGTAGTATGCAACAGTGAATCCGCCGACAGTGATACACAGTCCTGTCCCTACACGCCTCAGAACTGCTCTTTCCCTCGATGACTGTCTGCTGTTAACGTAAAGGCTTAAACCGTTTGTAGAGCTGGTGAACTTGTTTCGAAGAGCCAGAAACCGACGCACGGCGGCCATCATGACTGTGTCACCGCGGGCAGACTGCGCTCACTCATCGCGAGATGAAAAATGCGACCTCGATACAGCACGTCGTGCATGAACACATTAGCAGCTGTATTTGCAGTCAAATGTCCTTTCCATTCAGGTCATAGTTAGAAGTCATAGTTAAAGCCTTAATTTCAAGTTAAAGTCTTTATTTCGTTTTATTGTGGGTTTCTTTTAATTTGACTTGGTAAACAGTTGCAGATAAAATACTACAGGAGAGTTTGGGTGTGCTGTAGCACTAGATTTTGTTTCAGCATCTGTGCTAAGTGTTGTTGTTTTTTTTGTCCATCTTTTATATAATATTCCTATATTTTTCTGATACAAATTAAATATAGAAATCTATAACTTATATCTCACAAAAAAAAAACAGATTGTACAAATTATTGTCAAAGGCAAATTCACCTGTTCAGAATAATTATGCCATTGCCCATCATTACCATATGTTATATTATTTATATTATATTATTTATATGTATATGCTATTTATATTATATATATATTTTTTTTTATTATTCACTTATTTCATTTTTATTGCCTGTGTCTTGTCGCTGTCATTCTGTCATATGATTTTTATTTTTGTCAATTTCCAGTGTAGCATTATTCCGAATGTTTAAGTTGTTTTCCTCCTGCTTCCCATAATGTTCGTGGTTTTAAGATTTACTCTGCTTGTGAGATAGATTCAGCCCACACTGTATGCAAAACCTGACCCACACAAACATATGTCACAGACATAAACTAAAACACAACTGAGATTGTGCGCAAAAACTCAAGGCTGGACCAACCCGACGTCCCGCCCACAGAAGTCCAATCTCTGCACCTGCCCCGCGCGCACAGCAGCCACTCACTGCGCAAAGCACTTCCCACAACAACACATAGCCTACCTGCTGCCTCATACCTGCTCCACATTTATTCATGTCAGAAAGCACCACCGGCCACCATGTGGACGAGGCATGAGAACAGAAATTAAAGGAAGTCAGTTCTTTGCAGTGAAGTTTCTTGCCCACTGGATATGTCTGTATACCTAATCTACAGGAGTCGAGTGATATTTCATATGCGCTCAGCATGGATCCACTACAAGTGACGTGCTCGCATGGATATTATTCGTCGTAACGTAGCTATAGCTTTGGACGATTGCTTCACCATATTCATTTAGATTAAGTTTCCCTGACCGCTCCTGCTGGATTGGAGGTTTGTGATGGCAGCTATGGGAGAGATCGGGACGTTTTTACAGAGCCTGGAGGGTTTGGGACAGGTCGGATCACAGTTCTTCCTACCACCTCTAGGAGAAAACCTCGGGCTGTTGAATGATCATTTAGTTCCAGCAGAGAGACTGTCACGGAGCACCTCTGCAGATCTAACGCATTTGAAAGGGATCCTGCGGAGAAGACAGTTGTACTGCAGGACTGGATTTCACCTTGAAATACTCCCGGATGGCAGCGTGCAGGGCACGAGAAAGGACCACAGTCGTTTTGGTAATTTCCCACTTTCTTTTCAGCATGTTTGATTTGTTTAAACAGAAAGTGAATTATAATATGTACCCACTTTGACCGTACGCTTTTAAAACAGGTTCTCTCGTTTTTATAGTCCTTATAGGTCAACTCAAAATTGTTCTGGTCAATTTTAAAGAATCCACAAATTCAATACCTTGATATGAACAAAGTAAAATGTAATAACAACTACTTTTTTAATTTCTAAAAAAAAATAAAACAAATAAATAACCTTGTCCTTTTCTGAATCTAATGGGCAAAAAACTTCTAAAGAACTTTTTTTTTTAATTATATTTATTTTAACTCTATAATAGTATATGCAGTATACAGATGGAAAATGCATTGCATTTCAACTTCCACACAATGTGTGATGAGGGTTTAGACTTCAAAGAACATCTGAACAATTGATTTATTCTTCTCCAGGTATTTTGGAATTCATAAGTCTTGCAGTTGGATTAATAAGCATCCGTGGAGTGGACAGTGGTCTCTACCTTGGGATGAACGACAAGGGAGAACTTTACGGCTCTGTAAGCAGAGTTTTGACTTTTTAAGATCTTTTTTTACCTCCAAGAATGATTCTGCATAATTGTTGTTCTTATTCAAGCCCAGTAGATGGCATATATGTTTTATCATTTTGGCCACCTCTCTCAGTGTTATTAATTATTGCATGAATTATATCACTTAAAATGTTTTTTTGTTTCTTAGGAGAAACTCACAGCAGAATGTGTCTTTCGTGAGCAGTTTGAGGAGAACTGGTACAACACATACTCTTCTAATCTCTACAAGCATGGGGAGAGAGGAGCACGATATTTTGTGGCTCTCAACAAGGATGGCACGCCACGTGATGGGACAAAATCTAGGAGACATCAAAAGTTCACTCACTTTCTTCCAAGACCAGTGGACCCTGAAAAAGTTCCAGAACTTTACAAAGAAGTGCTTGGACACAGCTGAGACCATCAGTCCCAGTTAAAGGGTGAGAGGGATGCCCAGTTTCTTCTCTACATGAGGTGGAGATGCTAATGTTTGGCCACCGTGTCCAAACCTGAGATCTGCTCTGGAAATGCACTGACCAGTACTGATGGTGAAGAGAACAGTCTCAAAAGACTCCCTACGTGTGAAAGCCAAGCTGCAGTTGGTGCCTTTGTTGCTGGTTATAACAGACTAGTAGCATAACATGTCCTTGAAACCCAAAACTGAGGATTTTGGAGGTTTTAAACATGGTTCTGCTTTGCTCTGGAAATATTCAGTATGGGTTAAGGAGGACTTGAAGGAACAATGCGTACATGATGCTCAGAGATGACAGAACTGGGACGGTGAAGAACAGGAGTTGCCATCTCACATGATGTTATTTATACAGTTCTTGATACACATATTTATTGTATGTATTTATTTATTTGAAAATATAAATATATATTTTTACATCTAAAAGTAGATTTTTTATTAGACCAAACAGTAGAAGGTGCTTTGAAATAGTGGCAAAGCTGTTCTTTTTATGTGACGGAAGCTGTACAAGTTACTTATTATCACTGATGATATTAAGAAAGATTGTGATTTCCTATTGCAAATGTATGAAGAATGCCATGAGACTCTGTGATTTTAATAGATTTGTTTCAAGCAGGATTCCCCAGAATGGCATGCTGCACAGTACATTTTACAGGCTATTAAATCAAGTATTATCATTAAAAAGCTTGTTTTGTTTGATGTGATTTATTAATTGTGAAATTATTATTATCTAGAAAAAAAAGATCCAATAGAGTCCATATATTCTGAAACTATAAATGATTTACAAGTCAATGGTGGCTAAAACTGTTTGGTTACTAACAAAATATCTTCTATCTTCTTTAGCGTTCTGCAGAAAAAAGAAAGTCACAGGTTTGGAATGACTTGAGGGTGAATAACTTTTCATTTTTGGCTGAACTATTTCTTTAAGTTGCTGTTTAGCTGAGACCCAGGGTTGTCCTGCACTCATCAGCATCAAAGTTCTTTTGCGAGACCTTCTCAGGTAACAGCTACACAATGACTGAATCTGAGTGAAATAAAAACTGACCTTTACTTTTGGGTCAAACCCAAAGTTAGAGTAATCTCAGCTGATGCTAGTAATGATGCCTGCTAAATATATCAGGCAAAGTTATAAAGCGAAAATGTGTCTGCTGTGCAGTCTGTATTGTGAGATCAAAAAATTTAAAATACCCTTTTCAAATATTGTTTTAATTCCTCCTATCAATAACCCCCACTAGGTTTGGTGTTTTCTTTGACAGATAGTACCAGCATTTTCACATGAAACCAAGAAGCACTAGGGAAATGATATGAGATTTAAACACCAGGGGCTAAACCTTCCTGAATGTTGTTTAACGGCTGAATGAGACATTTCCACAACAATTACTAAAGAGGCACATCTATACACAGTTTCTAAACGGATGAGATGACATTTTATGTTGAAGCATGAAGATATAATCTGTGATCTCAGTATCTCTGTGATGGTGAGCCAGGGTCTGTCTTAGATGGGAGTGTACCTGTAACATTTTACCAGAATTACAGTGTGGGATTTTCCCCATCTTAACACCATAGAGTGATTGTTAACAACAGATAAATGAGGGTGGAGGATGAGTGTGAATATATAAGCTTCGCTCCATTCAGAAATGAAAGATAAACAATTTAAAAATCACAAAGTGCTCTGATTTCTATCGTATATAGATTAAGTTAGTAAAATGTGGTTTAACAAATAAAAAGTCAATTTTTCCCCAAGTTTCATGTAATTATTTTGTTTGTTTTGTGCAAATGTTACAATAGCTATTAGGTCATCACTTTAATGGAAGAGAGTTTGTCCCTGACACTTGAAGAACCAATATTTTTCCATTTGTCTGAGCTGAAATATATGCCTTTGTCTGTACTTCTAGCAGGTGGTCTGAGGCACTTTACAGGCAACACTTAAATCCTTCATCCATGCCCTCTCTCAGCCCTGCCTCATGCACTTAATGGATGCACCCTTATTTTCATCACCTCAGACGTGGCCTCAAAGAGCTCTCAAAGAAACCCTATCAGATAGGTGTGTGTGTGTGTGTGTGTGTGTGTGTGACAGAGAGAGAGAGAGAGAGAGAGAGGGAGGGAGAGTGGCATGGGTCCACAGACAGGTGTGTAAGTGAGGGATCTGTGTCTGCGGCCCAATCAGACATCGCAGGTGTTCCCACAGCACATGTCAGCATGCCCTGGGTCTCTGATCTTCAAGGCCCAGTGTTTGTCAGCTGTGAAAATGGGGCGGGAGTTCATGCAAACCCGTGGAAATACAGCCTTGGTAGCTTTGTAGTCCGTGTGGATTACAATAGTGCATAATTCATATCTTTACAGACTGGGGGAAGTGGCAAAGTCTCACCTGGTGTTTTAAGCTGTTGTCTCAGGGCAGATTTATGTTTGCACAAGGGTGGCGTCTGACAATATTCTCAGCAACTGTTTATCTAGAGCCTTTTTGCATAAACGACCTCGTTAAAGCCAAATGACAATGCTGAAA